ACAAGACCTCCCCTCTTCCCACCTACACATTAAGATCCTGCTAAAAAAAAAAAACAAAAGCTGAGGTCAATGCTGAACCTCATTGCAACCACACCCCCTCAGCCAAATCTCACTTACTAAGGATGTAGTTGAAGAGATTGCAATAGTTGTAATAGGATTCAAACCTCTGCTCCAAGGAAGGTCCCCCCTGTAAAGAAAAGATATATCAGGATACAGATATTTAATCTTAATGTGTTTTACTCATGGTATACTGTGACAGCTGTGTACAAATACATGAGAACTGGTATCTGTCCTCTCCTTCTTGGTATGTAAATACACAAGTCAGCAGGAAGACAGAAAGTCCGATAGCAGTTGATGCACTGAATACTGCAACACATGGTTAGGTTCTGCAGCAACAGACCTTAAATGACTCTCAGAGCAGGCATGAAGATCCGGCAAAGCAGAAAGAAGGGAAAGCATTTCAGAAAACACACTAGCAAAGCCAAAGAGGGAAAATCGTGGCACTTGAAGGCTAGGGAGTCAGAGAAGATAATCCTTCACTGGGCTACACGGGACAATGGGCCAGGAATGCAGCAGTCTCCCAACGCCAAACAAGAATCTAGGTCAGGGGGCCTGCAAATCTACTCCACCACCTGTTTTGTAAATAAAGAAGTTTTACTGGAACACAGCCAGGCCCACTCACTACATACTGTTTACAACTGCTACAAAGACACAGCTGAACAGATTGGACAGAAACCATTGTGGTCCTGGAAGCCTAAAATACTATCTGATCCTCCAGAGAAGGTGGTTGAACCCTGGTCTGGTCTTTATGTTGCCTGCATCTGAGAATCACTAATGGTTTCTGAGCTGGGGAAACCATACCATGAACAATATATTTGTGGAGAAAAAAATACAGCTTTGGATTCAGCCCCACCTTATTACTGTGGGGTTCTCACAAGGTATTTAATCTGTCTGTAAAACAGGAGCAAAAGATTATTGACTAGTCACAATTAAATAAGATTATGTAGCTGGGTGAAGTGGCTCACACCTGTAATCTCAGCACGCTGGGAGGCTGAGGTGGGCGAATCACCTAAGTCAGGAGTTTGAGAGCAGCCTGGGCAACACGGTAAGACCCCATCTCTATTTTTCCTTTTTAAAAAAATTATGAATAAAACAAAACAAAACAAACAAACAAAAAATAAAAATAAAAAAATTATGTAAGGTGCTTAAAACATTAAGCACATTCAATGAAAAACTGCTCCCCAGGGGCTAAAAACTGGTCATTTATGTGACAGTCCTGGTACCTAATAAAAAGATTATAGCATCAATAAGTTCTGCTGAATCTTCATCTACAGACGGAACAAAGAGAACATTAGAGGTGGTGAAACCAGGTATACTATGGGCTACATACAGTGTCAGGGTGTTCCCAAAGAAGCAATGTACACACAATGGCTAGATTCTTAGCATCAGTAGTAGCAGGGAATCTTTAATTTCTATCAGATAAAGTAGTCAGAGATCACACTGGGATGCCAGAAAGGCACGGCCCCTACTCTGGCAGCAGCAACTTTTCCAACCACTATCACTCACCTGAGGTCAGGAGTTCCACAGCCTGGCCAACATGGCGAAACCCCATCTTTACTAAAAATACAAAAATTAGCCAGGCACGGTGGCATATGCCTGTAATCCCAGCTACTCAGGAGGCACAGGCAGGAGAATCGCTTGAGCGCAGGAGGCGGAGGTTGCAGTGAGCCAAGACTGCACTACTGCACTCCAGCCTGGGTGACAGAGTGAGACTCCATTAAAAAAAAAAAAAAAGGATGTTGAAGACAGAGCTGAACAGGATTTGATGAATGTCATGTCAGAGGAAAGTCAAGAATGCCAAAGTTTTTAGTCCAATTAGCTGGGTAATTAATGGTAGCCATTTATTGAGATGATGAACATGGGAGGAACTAGTTTAGAGGGAAAATAAGAATTCAGTTTTAGCCGGGCGCGGTGGCTCAAGCCTGTAATCCCAGCACTTTGGGAGGCCGAGGCGGGTGGATCACGAGGTCAAGAGATCGAGACCATCCTGGTCAACATGGTGAAACCCCGTCTCTACTAAAAATACAAAAAATCAGCTGGGCATGGTGGCGCGTGCCTGTAATCCCAGCTACTCAGGAGGCTCAGGCAGGAGAATTGCCTGAACCCGGGAGGCGGAGGTTGCGGTGAGCCGAGATCGCGCCATTGCACTCCAGCCTGGGCAACAAGAGTGAAACTCGGTCTCAAAAAAAAAAAAAAAAAAAAAAGAATTCAGTTTTTGATGTGTTAAGCTTGAGATGACTCTCAGACAGCCAAGTGCACATGTTGACAGTTGGATATACGAGTCTGGACTTCAGTGGGGCAACTGAGGCTAAAGATAGAGATTAAGTCACTGGTGTATATAAATAATACAGATGGGTTTCTATTTTTTCTTTCTGAGATAGAGTCTCACTCTGTCACCCAGGCTGGAGTGGAGTGGTGTGATCTCGGCTCACTGCAACCTCCACCTCCCGGGTTAAAGTGATTCCCCTGCCTCAACCTTCCAATAGCTGGGATTTCAGGCACCTGCCACCACATCTAGCTTATTTTTGTATTTTTACATTTTCAGTAGAGACAGGGGTTTCTCCATGTTGGCCAGACTGGTCTCAAACTCCTGACCTTAGGTGATCCGCCCACCTCGGCCTCCCAAAGTGCTGGGATTATAGGCATGAGCCATCACGCCCAGCCTTAAATATACAGATGGAATTTTAAAACACTTCAGGCACTTTGTAATTTAGAAGTCAGGAAGAACAGAATCTAGCAAATGCCCAAAGTTGGTATAATGCAGGCTGGCCTAGATTCAGGGAGTTTTGTCACTTATTAGCTGGATAAATTTGAGAACAAGTAACCTTTCTGCACCTCAGGTGCCAATCTGCAGGACTGACAGAACTAGGTATGTGAAGATGTGTGCCAAGTGCCTATCTAGCCTTGTGCTTGGCATACAGTTTCCGAGAAACAGAGGCTCAATGCTCTGAAGAGGAAAAGAGCCCCAAGCAGAAGGTACCTGGAAACACCCTGAAAGGATGGCAGCCTATAGCCCAGTACATGGGTGACTGCCCAGTCCAGGAGAATTGTGGGGACAGAGAAATTTAAAAGAATGATAGGTTATACACTGTTAGTGTATCTGGAACAGCTTTCTGGGTTAAATTATTCCTTCCACCGTTTTTTTTTTGTTTTTTGTTTTTTTGTTTTTTTTGAGACGGAGTTTCGCTCTTGTTACCCAGGCTGGAGTGCAATGGCGTGATCTCGGCTCACCGCAACCTCCGCCTCCTGGGTTCAGGCAACTCTCCTGCCTCAGCCTCCTGACCACCGTTTCTTAAAAGAAAACTCAAGACCATGCCAATCATTCCTGGACACTGAACCAATATAAACAAGTGACTATGTTCTAGGGACAAAAATGGCACAGAGTTAAAAACAAACAAACAAACAAACAAAAAACTGCTAGCGACACTTAAATACTTACACTGACTTTGGCATATATGTGCCTGTAGTATAATTCTTTGTATAAAATCAGGAAGACAGCATCTGAAAGAGATGGGAAGAGGGGCGCTTCACTATCCATAAAACTGGGGTATCCTGGCAGCTTTAGCCCTTTAGTGGGGCGGAATAAAGGTAATTCTGAACACTTAACAACATCTAAATTGCTATGCATATGCCTCAAGAATACATGCAATGAGAAAATCCACCAACCGCAATCTCTGTCAATGAGGTTAAGATCTCATTCATACCTATTGCCCTTTGCCATTTAGAGACATCTGCCATCCAACTACATAAATAAACCGGCACATAACAGTAATAAGCTGAGCGTGGTGGTGCGTGCCCATGGTCCCAGCTACTTGGCAGGCTAAGGTGGGAGGATTGCTTGAGCCCAGGAGGCAGAGGCTGCAGGGAGCTGTGATCATACTGCACTCCAGACTGGGCAACACAGTGAGACTCCCGTGGGAGGGAGGAAGGAAATATTAATTTCAGAATGTTGTTTGTTTGTTTAGAGACTCACTCTGTTGCCCAGGTTGGAGTGTAGTAGTATGATGATGGTTCACTGCAGCCTCGACCTCCAGGGCTCAAGTGTTCCTTCCACCTCCGCCTCCTGAGTAGGTCGGACTATAGGTATGTGCCACCATGGCTGGATAATTTTCTTTTAAATTTTTTTTGTAGAGAAGGGGATCTCCCTATGTTACCCAGGCTGATCTGGCCTCAATCTCCCACCCTCAAGTAACCCTCCCACCTTAACCTCCCAAAGTGCCAGAATTACAGGCGTGAGCCATGACAACCAGCCACAGAATGAGTTTTGAGCTCATTCTGTGTTTGGTCAATTAAGAGTAAGTGTTCAGGTCAGGCCTGGTGGCTCATGCCTGTAATCCCGGCACTTTGGGAGGCCAAGGTAGACACATCATTTGAGGTCAGGAGTTCAAAACTAGCCTGGCCAACATGGTGAAACCCAATCTCTACTAAAAATACAAAAATTAGCCAGGTGTGGTAATGGGCACCTGTAATCCCAGCTACTTGGAAGGCTGAGGCAAGAAAAATGCTTGAGCCCAGGAGGTGGAGGTTGCAGTGAGCTGAGATCACACCACTGCAAGAGCAAGACCCCATTTCAGAAAAAAAAAAAAAAAGCTATTATTCAGCCGACTACGAGTGAATGCAGCTCTGAGATGTCCTGTGGTAATGACTGCTTTTCTGCTTTGACCAAGAAACATTAGCTATAACAAAAGAAATGAGAGCCTTGTACAATGAAAACTGCAAACATTGTTAAAAGCAACCGAAAACCTAAATAAATCAAGGACATCCCATTGAAGGAGTTAACAGTATGAAGATGGCAATACTCCCCGAAGTGATCTTCAGACTCTAGGCAATTCCTATAAAAATCCCAGCTGGCTACTTTGCAGAAATTGCCAAGTCCATCCTAAAATTAATAAGGAAATCCAAGAGACCCAGAATAGCTAAAACAATCTTGCAAAAACAACAACAAATTTGGAGGACTTAGACCAGCCTGGCCAACATGGTAAAACCCCATCCCTACTAAAAATACAAAAATCAGTTGGGCGTGGTGGCGGGCGCCTGTAATCCCACCTACTCAGGAGGCTGAGGCAGGAGAATTGCTTGAACCCAGGAGGCAGAGGTTGCAGTGAGCCGAGATTGCACCACTGTATTCCAGCCTGGGTGACAGAGTGAGACTCCGTCTAAAAAAGCAAAAAAGAAAAAAATTGGTGTTAGGGTAGCTGAATATCTACAAGCAAAATAAGTTGGATTCTCCTACGTCGCCGAGATATAAAGGACATTATCTAAGAAAGTGAAAGCTGGGAGGCTAGAGAGCTTATTCCAGAGTGATTGCAATGACCCCCCCAATATTTTTTATTTTTTTGAGACGGAGTCTCACTCTGTCGCCAGGCTGGAATGCAATGGTGTGATCTCAGCTCACTGCAACCTCCGCCTCCCAGGTTTTAGCATTTCTCCTGCCTTGGCCTCTTGAATAGCTGAGATTACAGGTGCTCACCACCACACCCTGCTAATTTTTATATTTTTAGTACAGACGGAGTTTCATCATGTTAGCCAGGATGGTCTTGATCACCTGACCCTGTGATCCACCCACCTCGGCCTCCCAAAGTGCTGGGATTACAGGCATGAGCCACCGCGCCTGGCCAACCCCCAAATTATAGAGGGAAATAGAAACAGATCAGGACAAAGATCTAAATTTCACCATATATGAGAGATCTCTGTCCCCTCTTAAATCATCCAGCCTTCAACAAGTTATTTTACTAAGAACCTACTATATACCAAGCACTGAGGAAACAAGTGAGCAAAACAGGCACAAACCCTCTTGAGCTTCCTGTCTAGTGACTCTCAGCCATTGGATTCCGCTTGGTGCACAAGGTATAAAGAGCTCACACCTACCGTTGCCAACCTGTGGAGCAATGGCTTCGGCCTCGGGCCAAGGTGTATTCTTGAAGAATCTTTCAGTCAGCTTGGTCCAGCTGGGAAAAAAAAAAAAAAAAAAAACAAGCAAAAAAATTTCTAAAACTCCAAAAGAAGGACTGGAAAATGCCAACCCTAACAGTTTACAGATGAGGATCCAGGCTTAGAAAAGGGAAGAGTCACACAGAGCTGAGGCCAGAGCCCTTCAAGTCCACAACTTTCCTCAACCCAACTCCACACGTCAATCTTTCTCAACATAATAAAATATTCTTTTTGTTTTCAGTTAGGGACCCACCAAGGTTTTCAGGATAATCTCCTGCCTCTGTATCATTAACTATAGCCATATTTAACTGCTTCCTGTTTCCTGACAAGAGAACTACTTTCTAGACCTCCAGTCTTTAATACACAGCGTTTCCATCTCCTGGAGTGCATCTGAACGTCTCCAAATACCGAAGCAAATCAGTCTGCTGCAGTCCGAGGCCACAATCGACCTGCAGCATCCAGTTTAAACACTGCTGCCTATCCAATCCAAACACTGCTACCTGACAAACCTGTAGCAGGCTGCTGTTCAATTTTCTTCTCCTGATCCCCTCAGCAGCTATGAATACTTTCTTCCAATCTCCTCGAGCCCCACCCCTCCTGCTTCTCTGGCTCTTTTAGTCCAACAAATAAATATGCTCAAGATCCCCTGAAAAACACTGAACAGGCCAGGCATGATGGCTCACGCCTGTAATCTCAATACTTTGGGAGGCCAGGACAGGGGGATCACTTGAACCCAGGAGTTCAAAACAAGCCTGGACAACATAGAAAACGCCCTGTCTCTGCGGGGTGGGGGTTGGGGATAAACACAGAAACAAAACAGAAAACACACACAGAAACAGGCCAGGCATGGTGGCTCGTGCCCACAATCCCAGCTACTTGGAATGTGGAGGCAGGAGAATCGCTTGGACCCAGGGACAGGGCAGTGGGCTGAGACTGCACCACAACACTCCAGCCTGGGCAACAAGAGTGAAACCGTGTCTTGGGGTGTGGGGGGGGAACCCCTAAAACACAGAAACAAAACACAAAGCTTCTCAATGACCCTTTATGTCCCCTATACTTACCAATTCCCCTTTCGCACCCCACTGCTCTCTAGCTGTTGCTTCCATCATTCTACTGAAATTGACCTTGCTAAGGTTACTGAGGCCCTCTAAGTTACCAAATTCAACTGGCTTTTTTTCTCATCTGGACCTCACTAAACATTTGATGACACTCCCTTCCTCAAAGTTTCTTTTGTAGACTTTTTGGTTACTGTGACATTTCTTTTTCGACTATCTAGTTTTCACTTTTCTTTCTGCTCTGCCTCCTATACTAGATCCTCTCTTTGCCTGCCCACATTCCTAAAGAAACATACTTCTTAAGGCACCAGCAGTTGTTCTCACTAGATTCTCCTAGAGAAAGAGCTAGCTTGGCTTCAACTAATATCTCTATCTGCCGGCACTGCCCAATACAGTAGCTGCTAGCTACACTGCTCTGCTATAGAAGCAAAAAGTTAAACTTTAAATTTCAGTTAGTTTCCATTTAAATTTAAAAACCAACACTTAACTCAGTTATTGGAAACCTGTAGATCTATTTGGAATTACTTTAGTATTTGAATCTACTTTTCCAGTCAAAAACTCTGTAAAATCTAAATACCAATCAAGTATTTCTGATGCATACTGGACTTGGGAGACTTAGTAAAAAAGAAAAAAAGGACAAATATCCCTTTAAATTTTAAATACTGATCACACGTAGAAATAATATTTTTAAATAAATCTCCACTTCACTTTTAAAAAGCTATAGATGCTGAAAAATTAAAATTACATTCACATCTAACATATTTCTATTGAACATCACTGGTCTATTTTTTAATTTTACTTTATTTTGAGAGAGGGTCTCGCTCTGTTGTGCAGCTCACTGCAGCCTCAACCTTACGGACCCAAGCAATTCTTTCACCTCAGCCTCCCCACTAGCTGAGACTATAAGTATGTGCCACCAGGCCCTGGCTTTTTTTTTTTTTT